AAGGCCAGTGGAGATGCCCAGACCCAGGCCCCCAGCCCCCGCCCCCCCCAGACCCAGGGGTCCAGACCCCCCACCCCCCCCCCCCTCACCCCCAGGGGCCCGGCCCCCCAGCCCCTCCCCCCTCAGACCCAGGAGTCCAGGCCCCCAGCCCCTCCCCCCTCAGACTGTGAGTTGCCCTCCTCCCTCTGATTCTAGAGTTGGCCCCGGCTCTCAGTATATTGGAAGCCTTGGAAAAGGATGCCATGTGGTCAGGTGTATTGGAAATGATGCTGAAGATGGTCCGAAAGGTGATGCTGGGCTTCTCTGGTGGGGTGGGGCGGAAGAAAGCAGTCTGAGCTCTCAGCAGAAGGGTCAGAATTTCGGGGTCCATTCATGGAGGCAGAGGGAGGGGTGTGTGCTCACCGGAAACTTGGATTTTGGTTTGCGGTCTCTCAGGGAGAGGTCCGGTTGGGACCTGTAAGGACAATTTGGTGTGACTTTGGGGGCTTCAGCACTAGGATCCCCACCCTTCCCCCCTGCCCTGCAAGGCAGCAAGGCCCCAAGGCTACTTCTTTTCTGTAGATTTCTTTCTCGTGTCAGCTTGCTCCAGCTGTGACCAGCCTAGTGGCACGGAGTCACCCAGGGCCTGAGACTTGAATTTGCGCCTGAGGGTCTGGCAGCGGGAGGAGGGAGGGCAGTCAGGAGGTGCAGCCCCGTCAGCCTTTTCCCCTCCAGGCCCACCGGGGCCGCTCACCTTGGCCTTCCTCTGTCTCTGAGTTGTCAGAATCTTGTAAGGAAAGGTGGGCTCGACAATCATGACTGGAAAGGCAGGGGGACACTTCAGGTCAAGGACCCCAATGGGGATGACACGGTGTGGGGGGAGGCCCAGAGGGGACTCCTGGGGGGCTCAGTCAGGGGAGAGAGGGGTATGATGCTGAGGCTCTGTCCGCGCCTGGTGGAGGAGAAGCTGAGGCTCAGGGAAGAGCCTGATGGACACCCAAGCCAGCTCACCTGAACGTCTGTGGTGAAACGGGTCCTGTGGACAGGAAGAGGGGCAGTGAGGAAGGGTGAGATCTTCCTGGTTTCCACATCTCCATTACCTACCCAGCCCAGGACTCCAGGGCCCCAGCCCCTCCCCCCTCAGACCCAGGTATCCAGCCCCTGTTCTCTCCCCCCTCAGACCCAGGGGTCCAGGCCCCCAGCCCCTCCCCACTCAGACCCAGGTATTCAGCCCCTGGTCCCTCCTCCCTCAGACTCTGGAGTGCAGGCCTCCTCCTCCTTCAGAGCCAGGGGTCCTGGCCCCAGCTCCATTCCTGGGGCTCCTGTACTTCTGGCTTTTGGTCTTGGCACCCTCTCGAATCTAGAACCATAGCTGCCCCCAGGGGTCTGTGGGGTCAGGGCCCACCTGGAGGTGCCACGTGGCCCGGGTCCATGGGGGGCGTGTGGAGGGTCCTGGGGGCCCAGGAGGGGGCGGGCTGCCGGAGCAGGTTGATGAGGCGGATCCAGCGGTCAAACAGGAAGCTGACCTCATTGTCAGGGGCGTCCAGCTCCAGGTAATAGCGGCAGCCCCATGACCAGACTCAGCTTCAGGTGCCAGGCAGACAGGTCGTGGACGTAGAGGTGGGCCAGGTCCAGCAGGATCATCCTAGCAGAGGCAGGAGATGGAAGCGGAAGAGCAGGAGATGGGGGCGAGGTGGCAGGGGATGGGGGGATGGCGGCACCTGGTGAGGACGAGGCTGGAGCGCTCCCTGCCCGTGGGGGGCTGGGCCATCAGCAGGATGTCTGGCAACACCAGGCCTGGCAGGGAGGCGGCCACGCCCATGGTCACTCGGTTGGTTCTGTGGTGCACATACACTGGGGCCCCTCGACTGGTCACCTGGGGATCCAGGGAGAGGGGCTGGGACCACTCCTTTCTCTTATGCTCCTCTGGCACCTCCACACAGAGCTCCACCCCCCAGCCCCCCAGCTGCCTTGTGCCCTCCTGGGCCCAAATCCCCCAGCCCAGGGGGTCTCCCTTCCCTCCTGCCCCTCTCTGCCCCCAGGGCACAGGGAGCCAGGGACCTGGACAAAGTTACTCTCGAACACGGGCAGCAGGCGGAGGGGCAAGTACTCGCCCTTCTGGAGGGTCTTCTGCAGCTCGCCCAGGGTGGGGACCCACTTCAGGGGGCCCTGGAGTGGCTCCCAACGCCTGATGTTCCAGAGCCGGTTCATGATGGCTGCAGAAAGTGTCGGTCACCCGGGACACGGAGGCAGGGTGCCGGCCCCCCAGCCCACCGGCCCCAGCCCCTCGAGCTTCAGCGGTTCCAGAGGCTGGAGCTTCCCCAGGGCTTGGACATGGCCCTGCAGAGGTGCTCAGCCCTGGCCTGGGGGAGGAGACTTCGGTGGAGGAGATTTGTGACCTCATCGGACACAGCTGCAGCTCTTCCTGGGAAGTCTCCAGGGGCCTTCAGCTCCCTTCCCCTCCAGGAACCTGTCCTGGAGTCTTGAGGGCTGGGGTGGGTGAATCAGAAGCCCCTGCTCCAGACCCAAACTAAGGATGACCCGGGGCCCTGGGAGGGGCCGTCTGGGATGTTGTAAGTGAATAATTAAACAAAAGGGTTTCTGACTCTTAAGAGGGGAGGCCTGAATTACAGTCCCAACTTGCCACTGACCCATGTCTACACCCTGGGTAAGGTCTATACCCCCAGGAGCCTCAGTTTCCCTGTATCTAACTTGTTTGTGTCCGTGGCAACAGTTGCTCTACATTGGTTATAAAGAAAGGGACATGAGGTTTGGAATAAGCCGGACCTTTGGCAAAATCATATTCTGCCTCTCCCTAGCTGTGTGGCCTTAAACGACAGGCATCCCTGCGGAGCCTCAGCTTCCCTCATCTGTAAAATTGGGGGGTACTGGAGGATGCACGGGATCCTGCAAGTAAAACCCCGCACTTAAGGCATGGCGCAGAGCAGGCGCACAGTGAATGGCCATTCCTGTCCCCTTCCGAGGGCTTTCGGGGCGGGGGGTGCTGATGTTCTGTCATTCTAAATAGAGTGGTTATTATTTTTTCATGTGTCATGCAAAATACATGGTCATTGTAAAAATTCTGGAAAATACAGAGAAGCACAAATAACGAAAGTCACCCAAACCCCACCTCCACCTTGTACCCTGAGGTGGCCATAGTCAACACTTTGGTGTATTTCCTTCTAGGATTTTTAAATAATCCATGGATTATATGTATCTATACAAAATGGGGATCACACAGTGGTTTGTAGCCTTGTGGCCTGCTTCTTCTATGCCTAAAGCAGTCTCTGTAGCATCCCTCTTCATGGCTGGTGTATTCCATCACATGGATGCACTGTCATGTATATAACCATCGCCTACTGTTGGACATCTAGGTTGTCTCCAATTTGCTGTTGTAAACACTGCCGTAATGAACAACCTTGAGCCTGCAGCCTTGCCCTGTACTAGTACTGTTGGTCACAGGGTAACCTTCTGTAACTATCCATTAAATATTTATTTATTGACTGTGAGACTAAGAACTCACAGTCTCTGGGGGACTGATGGTTCCTCTACTTCCCTGTCCACAGAGGGCCCCCCAAGGACCCCAGCATCCAGCCCCTGGCCCCCAGAGAAATCACCTCTAAGTGGATGTGTATGACAAATTTAATTCCCTCTTCTCTATCTCACAAAAGGTTCTCACATTTTTGTACAAAAACCCAGGCCTCCTTTTCCCCTCCCTCCCCACCCCAACACAGAAAGTAATTGTTTAATAAATAATATATGCTCCTGCCCAAGCCGAGAGGGGTGGGGGTCAGGGAGACACTGTGGCCAGACTTCTTAGAGATCCAAGAATCCGGGACCCCAGTTCCCTCCTCCTCAGGGACCCCCGAGTCCACCTGCCTCCCACCCACCCCCTTAAATAAATAAGTATAAATAAGGCACAGATGCCCCCCTGCCCAGGTCTCCTGGAGGGCTCGTCTCTAACTAGAGGGAGACAATGGTGAGGGCGGAGTCCTCTGGCTGCCACGCCCCCAGTCCCGAAATAAATAAATAAATAAGGTCTGGCTTTGAAGGGCGCTGGTGGCTCTAGGTGGAGGGTCACAGCCGAGTCTTCAGCAGCAGCAAGCCCCGCACAGCCCAGTCGAGCGTCAGGTGCAGCCCCCCAAGGATGGCATGGGCCGCCCGGACGCCTCCCCAGGGTGAGGCCGGGGGAGCCAGGGGGGGTGCCGGTGGGTCTGGGGGCGCCTGGGGCAGGGCCAGGCGGGACATCTGTCAGGAGAGGACAGAGGGTTAACATCAGGCCAGGGGTGCAGTTAGGGTCCGGAGAAGTGGGAATTTGGAGCCTGTACTGAATCAGGGTTGGGGAGGTCCAGCTTGCATACTTCCACTGTGTCTCTGGCCTGTGAGGTGGGGTGTCTGGGTTGGGAGTTCTTCAGGACGTTGGGTTCAGAAAATTGAGGCTGGGGCCAAAAGGTGGGGGTCTTAAGGCTGGGGTTCTAGGGCCAAGTTCAGAGGGCTGGAGGTGAGGTCTGTAGCAGCAGGGCCAGGATCCTGGGGCCGAGGTCTTAGATGTGGGGTCTCATTGTAGGATCAAGCTCAGGGACTCATGTGTGAGAGGTGGGGTCTCAAGTCTGGGGTCTCAGAGCTGAGAGTTGGAATTTGAGTTCCAGGGTCTTTGGGGTCACCAGAACCAGCAACCGGGGTCTGAAGTCTTACAATCTCACGGTCTTGAGTCTGGGGTTTTAAAAGTCAGGGTCTTGGGGTCTTAAGGGCTCACAACCTAGATCTGAGCTCTTGGGGACCCAGGACTCAGGGTCTGGGGTCTTCTAGTTTGAGATCTCAGGGTCCAAGTCCTTGAGATCTGAGGTTTGCAGAGCCAGGGTCTGCAGTCTGGCTTTAAGTCACGGTGCATCATCTGAGGGTCTGGGGTCTTGATGTGTCAGGATCTCAGGGCCAGGATATGGGTGGGTCTCAGGGTCTGGAGGCTCAGAATATCCTGGGCTTGGGGTCTGGATTCCTCCTGTTTTGGGACCGGGGTCTCCAGGTCTTGGGGTGAGGGTTTGGATTCTCAAACCTTAGGGCTTCAGGATGGGAGTCTTGGAGTCACAAGACCATGGGGTTTCCGAGTCTCAGGGTGAGAGTTTAGAGTTTCCAGGCAGGATTTTGGAGTCTGGGGTCTCAGGGACACAGGGTGAGGGTCTCGGAGTAGGCCTGGGGTCTGGGGTCCTGGGGTCTCAGAGCCAGGTGATCGTACCAGGAGCTGCAGCCGGCGCAGCAGCCGGTCCAACCGGGCCTGCAGGGCGCCTAGATCGGGCTCCAGGGTCCGCAGGGAAGGGCCTCCTGCCCGGCGCAGCCACTGCACATGCCTTAGGTAGGAGAACAGGTCTGCCCGCAGCCGTGTCAGCACTCCCGGGAGCTGGGGGACGGGCGGGGTGGGGAGTGGCGTCAAGGAGCACCTGGCACCTGCCCACTCCAGCCCCTAACCCCCTGCACCCCCTTCACCGCCCAACTCCCACCTTTGACCCATCCCCTGCCCTTACCTGCAGGGCTCCCAGCGCCCCCGCACTCATGGCCAAGGTGGGGAGGGAATCCAGGTTGTGGTCTCCGTCAGCTGGGAATTTGTCTCTCTTGGGGGGAAAGAAGCCGTGAGAGGGACCCTGCCCAGCTCCGGGGGACGCTTCATCCCCCACCACGAGCCCCGGACTCCTTTCTCCCCCGTCTCTGCCACCGTGGTAGCCCAGACGCCCTCTCCGTTCTCGGTCTTGGCCCCAGCCCATCCCCTCCAGGCTCTCCTACCAGCTGTGCGGCCAGCTGCCGAGTGTCCGCCAGGAGAGAGCGGGTCAGGAGGACGGCGCTGTCCAGCTCAGCCCGAGGGTCTGGGGAGGCCCGTGGGGGGCCAGGAGGTGGCCCCGGGGCAGCAGCTCTACCTGGCCACAGGCTCAGCGCGACCAGGACCAGACAGCAAACACCTGAGGGAGGGAGAGGACAGAAAGGAGGCTCAGGCCCGACCGGGGGATCTGAGGGAGGAGGCGCTGGGGTGGGGGTCCTGAGTCCCAGGGCGGAGCGCCCAGGGCACGTCGCAGGGCCTGGGCGGGTTTCCCTCTCCCTCTCTGGCTCTGGTCGCCCCGCCCGTCGGAGCAGACGCGCCCCGGGGCGGGTAGACGGGCCGGGCGTCTCCCGTCCGCCCCCGGACGCCGGAATCTGGGCCCCGGGGCGGGGCAGGAGGGGGGAGACACAGGCCAGAACCTGCCCCCTCCCGAGGCTCAGGAGCCCGAACCGGACTGAGAGCAGGGGAAGGAGACCTGGACAGAGGTCCGGGGGCCTTGACCCCTCCCCGGGAGACCCCCGCGTAGGCCCCACCAGAGTGGACCGCGGAAGGCCGGGCCGCAGCGCCGGGGATACCCCACAGCACACCTGGGCGGAGAGAGGCAGAGGCGCGGGCGCGCCGGGCTCGCGGCGGGGAGAGAGGGACCCGGCGGTGCTCAGCGCGGGGGCTCCGGCCCGCTCCCTCCGCGGCCGCCCATCCCCCAGCGGCCCCGCCCACCCCGCCCGCCAGCCAATCAGCGACCCCCGGGCCGCCCCGCTCCCGCAGCACACCCCCAGCCCGCCCCCTGGGCCCTCCCAGGCCGCGGTCTGTCCGCCCGTCCGTCCGCATCCGTCTGGCTCTCCTGTTTCTGTCTGCACCCCTGTGTCTCCCTCTGTCTTTCCTCCCCGTAGCTGGGGTCGGTGTTCTGGGCTTGCTCTCACCTCCTTGGCCTCTCTGCCTCAGTTTCCCTCCCGGAGCCTCTCTGTTGAGGTCCCTGGGAGTCTGCGTCTCTCGGTCCCCGCTGACTCCCTGGGGGTCCCGGGCCCTTTGGGATCACCCCCTGGCTTTCGTCTGTCTCTGTGAGTCTCCATTTCTCTCTGCCTCGCGCTGCCCTGCCGGTGTCTCCGCGTCTCTGATCCGTCCTTTCATGTCTCGCTCTGCCCGTCCCTTCTCTAGGCCTCCTGCTTTCTCTGAATCTCCTTCCCGCTCGCTCCGTCTCCGCCTCCCCATTGCTCCCTCGCTCTCCTCCGTCTCTCGGTCCGATTCCGCTGTCTGTCTGCTCCCCACCCTTCCCGCCGACGGTCCCTCCCTCCTTCCTCCCTGTCCCCCCTCCAGGAGCTTGAACCAACTTACTGTTCATGTCCCCACAGGGCAGGGGTTCCCCAGGGCAGGGGGCAGGGGGCTGGGGGCCTTTAACCCTTCCCTGTCCGCTGCCGTGGGAGCCCTGGGGGTCAGCTGGGCCTCGGCCTGGGGAGGGGAGGCATGTGCGTGTGAGCAGCGAGGGCCGCGGCAGTGAGGGAGTGTGTGCGCCTGGGGGGTTATATAGGGGGCCGGGGCGGGCGGGCGGGGGGCAGGCGGCAGGGGAGGGCGGCCTGACACATCCTGACTCACCCTCCCTGCCTGCCTTTTCCATTCCGACGGAGCCGGCTGCCTCGCAGGGCTCACGCCGCCGCGCTCGGAGGAGGGCACGGAAGGAAAAGTTGGAAAAGTTGAAAAGGGAAAGGGGGGGTGGTCGGAGAGGGGCTGGTGAGGTCATTGGCGTCCCCTCCCTCCACCTCCTCGGCCGGCCGCCGCCGCCGCCGCCGCCGCCGGGGCAGACACGCAGCTCAAGAGCTGGGGCCTGGCTGCGGGGTGGGGGTCCGGCTGGACCAGGACAGGCAGAGAGATGGAGAGGCAGGGGGTGATGCGGACGGGGTAGAGGTGGCAACGGGACCACAAGACGCAGGCCTGGGGGGTTGGAGGTGAGACGGAGAGAGACTCCCAGGGACAGAGAGAGATGGAGAGGCCGAGACCCAGGCAAGGAGGTAGAGACACACAGAGAAATGGGGACATGGGACAGAGGTGGAGAGTCTGAGGTGCAGAGATGGAGACAGCCAAGGAGACACGCTGCAGAGGCAGAGAAACAGGAGAGCAAAGTGAGGTTTGAGGGGCACGATGAAAACAGCAGGAGATGTCTGGAGAGACCCAGAGAGACCCCCAAAAGGAAAAGGGACAGAGAAAGGCATGCCAGAAAGAGGGGAGGCAGGCAGCAGAAAAGAGATACACAAGGCAGGGTGACAGAGATGGAGAAGTCCCAAGGGGCAGAGATCCTCTGAGAGATGCTGATGCTGAGATGACGAGGACTCAGCAGTGGGGACTGAGAGAGGGGGGCCTTTCTCCAAGTGACACGTTGGAACATGGTGAGAGAGGACCAGAGGCAGAGAGACAGGGACCAAGAGAAAGAGGCATCGAGACACCCAGTAGAGGTGAGACCTCGGGCACATGGCTTCACCTCTCTGTGCCTTGGTTTCTCCATCTGTGAAATAGGGATACCCCAGGCACGACCCCCTCCCAAAAGCCTGTGTGAGGATACAGTGAGTTCACGCCTGTAAAGCACACAACCAGCTCTCAGTAAATGCGAACTATTGCTATTCTCACCGTTGATTTTTATTAACATATCCAGGGAGACGGAGGAAAAGAGGGAGCCCCTGGGAGAGATGGAGATGGTGAGACACGGAGAGAGCAGCTGGGATGGGTGGGGGGAGCTGGAGACCAGGACATGGCAGGGAGGACACCACGCGGAGAGGTGGAGAGGTGGAGATGCAGAGAGGGGTGGGAGCAGGGGTGGGAGACACAGACTCAGGGGGACAGTGGTGCCAACACAGACGCACACAGGGAGTACCAGGTACATGGAGCAGAGGTGGCCCCGGGGATTCACGGCAGAACGAGTGAGGGACCATGACAGGAACCCAAGTCCCCAGGAGCACCCCAACCCCCAGGATAAGGGTGGCAGAGAAGGGTGGAGGGTAGTGAGAAGACAGAAGGTGACAAGGACTTCCAAAGGTCTTCCTGCAGACACCCCTCCCCCCCCGCCCCTGAGACCGCTGAGCTGGCAGGGGGGCTCTGAGGATGAATGCTGGCTGAAGTCCTCCCCCTCCCATCCCCCACCACTTGGGGGGGCAACTGCTCAGGTCCCCAGGGAGGTGAGGTCACAGCCCCCCCCATGGTGGGACATGACCTCATCGCCTCAGGTAAGAGCTCCCTCTGCCTCTCTGTCATGGCCACCCCTGCCAGGGCCCCCCAGGGGCCCTCCCCAGCCCCTACTCATGCTGGGACCCAGGCCTCTGACCACTGGGTCTCCGCCCCTCAGGGGGCCTGTTTCCGGCTGAGTCAGCGTGGGGGGGCCCAAGGCTGCGTCAGTGAAGGGAGAACTGACGTAGCCCCCCCCCCAAGACCGGTGGGGCCAGCCAAGGTGACTCAGGCCACCAGCCTGGGAGATGGACTGGTCTGAGGGGATGGGGGACTGAGCCTGGGGCCAGCCTGAGAGCCACAGTAGGGATCTGATGATGGCAGCCCCTTCCACCTCCGGGGGAACCGGGGCTGCCGGCCCCAACCCCATTGCTTTAACCTAGGAGTCCAAGAGCCCAGCCCCTCCTCCCTCAGACTCAGGAGTCCAGACCCCCAGCCGCCTACTTCCTCAGATCCAGGGGTCCAGCTCTCAGCCCCCTCCTCCCTCAGAGCCAAGTGGCAGGTGTCCAGGTCCGAAACCCTTGTTTCAAGAAAGGTAGAGAAAACTTGTGGCCATTCTGCAATTTGGGGAGTGCTCTGTTGGGGAAGGTCAGGGGTCTAGGCATGGGTCATCAGTCCCCAACTAGTGACAGTCCCCTCGGCCTGCTTCGGCCCTCTCACCCCGGGGATGCGGGGTCATCTTTCCTCACTGTGGCAGCAGGAGGCCGGTGGGTGCAGGACAGGAGGGTGGGGGTTACTCAGGACTCCTGGGTCTTCCCCAGGGTTGGGGACACTCAGACTACTTCTGTGGAAAGGAGAGCAAGAAGGAGAGACAAAGACAGACACGAGTAAAGAGATGGAGAGGCAGGGTAGGAGACTCACAAACAATGACGGGAGATGACTGTGACAGAAAGAGACAGGAGCACAGAGGCCAGAGTGAGAGACAGAGATGCAAAAAAAAAAAAAAAAATTGTGACCCATACAGACGCAGAGACAAGCTCAGGGGCTCAGAGGCAAAGACTGGGGGTGACACAGAGCTGAGACTCTGAGGGGTGATAGCCGTGGGGGGAGATGCCACTGGGATATGACGGGGGACCCCAGGGGGTCCTTGCTCATGTGCTGGCCCCGGGTGAGGTGGAGCTGGCTGGTGTGAGGTCAGCAGGTCCGAGTCTGTGTGTGTCCGTCTGTCTGTCCCTGGGGGGTCCTGTCTGGCCCCTGGGGGGTGACGGGGCAGGCGGGCCGCAGAGGCGGCCCAAACCTGTCATTAGTGGTGAGGGCCGTGACGGCGGCCCCCCCAGCCCCAAGCCGCGGTCCAGGGCCCTGCGGCCCCGCCCCCCCACCCCCTCCTTGATCCCTGAGGAATCCCGGGAATTGGGAAGTGGGTCCAGATGATGTTGACACAGGAAACGGTCAGCAGCTGCCCGGCCTCAGCCCCACAACCCCTCTGACCCCCACCCCCGGCCCCCTGCCGAGCCCCTCGGACCTGTGTCATCTCTGACGAAGGCAACCCTGGGCCCACTCAGCACCCACCAGGATGTTTACGGGAGATGGGTAGGGCGGGAGGCAGCCTCAAAGGGCTTCTTGAGAAATGGGGTCTGGACTCCTGGACAGCTGCCCTCAGACCTAGTCCCCTTCCCCCTCCTCCCTCAGACCCCGGGGTCCAGATGCCCAGCCTCTCTTCCCTTAGACCTGGGAGTCCTGACCCCAAATGCTCTCTTCCCTCTGATCCAAGTGTCCAGACCCCCAGCCCCTCTTCCCTCAGACTCAGGATCTGGACACAAAGACACACCGCCCCAGGAGAGCTGAGTCCCCTCCTCACTGGCTGGAAAGCTGAGTGGAGGTTCAGGGGAGAGTGAGGGATCATGTTCCCACCCCAGCCCCCAAGTTGACCTCCTCCCCCACCACTGGGGTGGACCAAACCAGAAGCTTGGGGATCCCAGTCGGACCCATTTCCCTGTTTGCAGAGGGGGAAACAGACTGAGCTAGAAGGGGCTCCCTTCCCATGAGTCCCCTCTCCACCACCTGGGGCCTCAGACCTCTCGGATCCTGGCCCTCCGCATCAGGAGGCCTGGATGCCTTTGGGACCAGGGGACTCCAGAGCAGGAGCTCTGGCCTATGGCCTGACCCCCATTTTCTCATCGCCCTCTTAGGTCTCCTGGTTGCTAGGGGGCCTCCCTAACAATGGGGCTCAGTGAGGTCTTCTGGGCCTCAGGCCCCCTGCCCCTGGTTGCTAGGGTGAAGACTCCCTGGCAACCAGGTCACAGGAGACTTTGGGTCACCTGGAGCTGCCTTTCAGGAATGTTTACTAAGCAGAGGGATTCCCTGGCAAGAAGGTCTCAGGGTGCCCACTCCTCGGGTCCCCTGGTTGGCTAGGAGGAGAAGTCTTAGACTCCCACCTGCTTTCTACCCAGGTTGCTAAGGAGGCTCTTCTAATGCCAGGGCCCCATCCCACCCACAAGGCCCCTTCCACCTGGTTGCTAAGGAAGCAACTCCCTAGCAACCAGGTGTGACCAGGCCAGTGTGACCACCCCCTTCTTTCTTCCCAATTGCTATGTGGGCTCCCTAGAAATAGAACTTAGAATTTTGGGGGCCAGCTGGGCAGGCGGGTGGGGCGAGCCGGTTGCTGGGGTGATGGCCTTCAAGGTCTCTCTCCACAGAGGCCCCAGGAGTCTGGGGAGGCGACATGGTGGGGTCTGGGATCCCTGCTTTGGGCCTCTTCCTACTAATGCAGGGCTCAGTAGGTGAGGGGGCTGATGAGAGGGGTCAGAGAGCTGAGCAGAGGCCCTCCTCACCCTCCATACAGCCTCCCAACACTGCTCTTTTCTTTCACAGATGGGAATGGAATCCAGGGATTCTTCTATCCATGGAGTGAGCAGTGGAGGAAACCCTGGGTCCCGTGGGGATAAGGAGCCCAGACTAGACTCTTGGGTCTAAAGGGAGGAGGGGCTGGGGTCTGGACCCCTGGTCTGAGGGAGGAGGGCCTGGGGGCCTGGCTCCTGGGTCTGAGGGAGGAGGGGCTGGGGACCTGGCTCCTGGGTCTGAGGGAGGAGGGGCTGGGGACCTGGACCCCTGGGTCTGAGGGAGGGGGGGGTGGGGGCCTGGACCCCTGGGTTTGAGGGGGGAGGGGCTGGGGGCCTGGACCCCTGGGTCTGAGGAAGGAGGGGCTGGGGACCTGGACCCCTGGGTCTGAGGGAGGAGGGGCCGGGGGCCTGGACCCCTGAGTCTGAGGGAGGAGGGGCTGGGGGCCCGGACCCCTGGGTCTGAGGGAGGAGGGTTCTGGGGGCTGGACCCCTGGGTCTGAGGGAGGAGGGCCTGGGGACCCGGATCCCTGGGTCTGAGGAAGGAGGAGCTGGGGGCCTGGACCCCTGGGTCTGAGGGGGGAGGGGCTGGGGGCCCGGACCCCTGGGTCTGAGGGGGGAGGGGCTGGGGGCCTGGAGTCCAGGGTCCAGCACGAAGTAAGCACTAGGCCGGCAGCCCCAGAGCCTGGTATGGGGTTAGGCTCTGTGAGGAAGCTGCTCCTCGCGTTGGTCCCCAGGCTGTGAGGGAGATGTCTGGGACCGGGAGAGCTGTGGGGGCCAGGTGGCAATTGAGAACCCGAATCTCTGTCTGCGTCTACGATGCTGCTACCACGACGGGGTCTGCTACCACCAGCGGCCGGATGGTGTGTGCCAGGGAGCCGGGGCCCCTGGGGGGGGCTGGTGGCAGGGACCCCTTGGTCTCACGGCTCCCTGCTTTGTGCAGAAAACATGCAGAGGAAGCACATGTGGGCACTCGGCTGGATGTGCGGAGGCCTCCTCTTCCTGATCTCCAGCATCTGCCTGTTCTGGTGAGTGGGGTCGGGGCTCGGGGGGGCTCCCCTGCCCTGGCGGGCGGGGCCAGGTGGACGGCACAGCTGAGGGTGTCCCCTCCCTGCCAGGTGGGCCAAGCGACGGGATATGCTGTGGCTGCCGTGGTTCCTGAAGGGCAAGTGCAACCTGTCCCAGACCGTCTCTCTGTTACCCAAGGACCGGACACCGAGCGAAAAGAAGATGGCGTCCATTGGCAGCATACCCACAGAGGGGGCCCTGGACGTCTCAGGGGGCACTGATGAGGAAGGCACGGAAGGGGGCGAAGAAACGGAAGCAGGGGAGGAGGAAGATTAGGGGCACCCCTGGAGGGATCCCTCAATACAGATATAGCACAGAGATGCATGGTCTCTTTTCTGAGAAGCATGAAGCAGGAGACGGATAAGACCCGGAGGCAGAGAGAGAGAGAGAGAGAGAGAGAGATAGAGTGTGTGTGTGTGTGTGTGTGTGTGTGTGTGTGTGTGTGTGTGTGTGTTTTGGGGGGTGCCTGGGCTGTGATCATGGAGGGTGTGAGCTGACAGGCATCTGGGGTCCAGGGGTAAGTGGGGAGGATCCGAGCTGAGGGGAACTTGGGCCGATGGGGGGAGGCCTGAGCTGATGGGGGTCCTGAGTTGAGTGTAGGTCCTGGGCTGTGATTACGGGGGTCTGGACTGAGGGGCTTGGGGTGAGTTGTGGGTGGCCTGGGCTGGGACTGCAGCTGGGCTGGGGGGACATGGACCACCGTGCCCCTCAGCTGTCCTGCCGCTGCCTGACAGCCTCTGCTGCCTACCCTTGGGGTCCTGCCGCCCTTGGGCCAGCAGGCATTTGCCTTGCTTCCCACGAACGCCGGACGACTATAGCTCTCAGACTCCCTAGTGGTGGCACGGAAATTTTCCTGGAACTTCATTACAGTTGAAGACTCAACGTGCTCAGTCCTCTTTCCTCCGCCCCTCCTTTTTCAGGTAACAGAGCTACTCCAACCTACCCTCCATAAGTATGTCCCCAACAAATATCTTGCAAGTCTTCATCCCTCTGTCTGCATCTCTGGGGACCTCAAACTAACAGAGGAACCTAGGCTGAGGGAGGTCTGGACTCAGGGGGTGGGTCTGGGCTTGAGATCCTTGCCCCTCCTGTCCCCCTCCATGAGGCGACAGCGTGGAGCTAGGCTCCTAGGTCCCCAAGGGCTTGGGCAGCCCCTCCCTCACCCCTGCCCCAGTGCCGTCCCTCTCCAGACAGATATGAAGCACAGTGAGGCAGAGCCCTTTATCCAGGGGAGGATAGATGGAGGACAGGTAGGCATCCTGGCAGCCAGATGGTGATGGGGCAGCTGCACATCTCCATCGTGTCCTGACAGGTGTGGCCATGCGTTCGTCTGTAGGAGGGAGGATGGGGTTAGTGGCTGCTCAGGACCCCTGCGTGTATCCCTGCATCCCAGGACCACCACCCAGGAGAAGGAGCCCTTTCCTCCCGCTTCAGTCCCTCACAATTGACTGACGCACTTGCTCATTGGCTCCTTCATTACTCCGTGCCCTGACTTGCGGCAGCGACTGTGCCTTTAACTCACCGGAACTCAGTGGTACAAGGTGGGGAATGAGAGGCAAGGGAAGGCAGAGACGGAGAGACTTACACACAAAAAAGAGAGAGGTGGAGACAAATATGTCGAGGGAAGGATAGAGGCACAAAGATAAAAAAAGACAGACAGACACAGGGACAAAGAGAAAGACAGGCAGAGACAGAGAAGATGAAATGGGGGGAGAAATGACATAGGATGGGTTTGGCTCTGCACATCTTCTCAACTAATTTTGGTCCCAGAGGCAGAGAGAAGTGACCAGAGCCAGGACCTACAGGACCCTCTGTTAAAATTCCAGTTCTCTGTCCCTCATGGGCTGGAATCACCTCACCCTGCCATTATGGAGTCCTGTGTTTGGACAGGCCCGTTTTCCTTCTAAGAGGGGCCTACAGGCCGGTCAGCTTGGCCAGTTTCTGGCAAGTGGTTCTAGCAGCAGAGGTCTACCCAGCTGTGTTAGACTTCTGGGCAAGGTAAAGTGTTTCCAGGGGTAATTTTAACCACAGGTGGTTATTTCTGCATCGTATGCCAAATTCTGTGTTAGCTCATGCTTCATCTATGCATAAACTGTTTCCTCATCTGAACCACAGAACATAGCATACGATTGGACTATTCTCAAAATTCTCACAAAAAAAGGGTATATAACTGTCCTTCTGGATGCATAGAAGGAAAGTTAATTCATCACCTATAAAGAATGTCTTAGGGCATTAGAATTTAATTCTTTTATGTAACCCCCATTTGAGAAACTGATTCAGTCACTCATCCATCCATTGTTTCACTTATCCATCCACCCACCCACCAACGCATCTATCCTCTCATCTATCTACTTACCCATCTGTCCAAACATCCATACAACCCCGCATTCACCCATCTACCAGTATCAATCCCACCATATCCATCCATCCACCCACCCATCCATCAACCAATTTATCCATCCATCTAACCCTCATCTATCCATCCATCAATCCAACTACATCCACCCATCCACCACCTATTTATCCATCAAGCAATTCATCCATTTATCCCTCTATCCACCCACCCACCCACCTATCCACCCACAACTCCATCTACCCATCCATCCATCAATCAATCTATCCATCCACTCATTCATCAACCCAATCCATCCATCCATCCATCCACCCACCCACCGGATCATCAACCTCTGACTTCCTGAGTTCACTCTTTGCTGGGGCATGCTAAGAACAAAGACACCAGGGACCCAGGCCTTACCCTCCAGGGGCTCCCTGTTGGGTGGGAGAGACAGTATCAGCACACACACATACAACACACAGTGATACAAGCAATAACAAGGGTAACTCAGACAATGTGAAGACCCAGAGAAAGGCACTGAAGTTCAGTTGGATCTGAAAAGACACCTGGTAAGTTTTCTGAGTGGAGTGCAGACAACAAGGGCACCCCCAGTGTAGGTGAAGGCATGGACAGAGGCCAGTTGGTGTGAGACAGCCTGGCCATCGTGGACTGAGGGAGGTCATTCTAACTGCAGAGAAGGCAGGAGATGTGGGGCTGAGATGTGGCAAACACACCCATAGTGAGCGGCTTGCATTTGACCAGAGGGCAACAGGGAGCCATAGCAGGTCTCTGGCGGAGGAGTGCACTCTGGAGAGTGCAACAGGTACCTCCCCTTTGGCAAGAGGTGGCACCTTTTGGGGCCTCAGTGTCCTCCCTGGGATGGGGATAGTAATAGCAGTGACCTCAGAGACTCTGTTACACTTGGAGGATTAAATGGGAAGTAGGACTCGGTGCACCTGGGGACTGGTGCACAGGGACGAATAATCTCCAAGTGTTGGTGGAGCTAAAGGTGACTCTCCAGCCCTCACGCACGTCTGGGGGCAGGGTCTCATTTGTCTCTCCCCAGTCTGCACCCATGCCTACCGTCTCTAGGTCTTCATCCTCTGGGTCTCTGCTAGTCTTTGCTTCTCTGCCTTCCAATCTTGACCTCTACCTGTCTCTCTCTCCCCATTGTCTCTGTCTCTGCACCTTTCCCTCTCCATTTCCATCTCTCCTTGATGTCTCTCCATCTCTCCCCTCTGTCCTTCCCTCCCTCCCTCCCTCCCTCCCTCGCACTACCTCTCCAGCTCTCCGTCCGTCTCTTCATCTCTCCTACTGTCCTTCAATCTCTCCCGCTGTCCCTCCATCTCCCCCCTGTCCCTCGGTCCCTCCATCTCTCCCCTCTGCCCCGCCCCGCTCCCCGCCTCCCCGCCCCTCACCTCGGGCTCACTCTTTGCTCGCACACGCCGCCCCAGGCCCGGCCTCGAGCGCGGCGAGCTGCAGGCGCACGCGGCGGGAGCCGGCGGCGGGCGGCTGGGGCGTGCGGGCGGCGGGGCGCCCTCCCCAGGAGCCGGGCGCGGCGCGCCGGCCGGCGGAGGAGGAAGCCGGCGCCGACCAGCGGCGGGAGAGCTTTCGCGCGAGGCGGGCGAGCGCCGAGGGCCGCAGGCCGTAGTCGCGCTCTAGCTCCTGGCGCGAGATCTCGATGTTGCCGGTGTACCAGAGGATCCAGCCGAGCAGGCTTAGGAAGACGAGCAGCGCGCCCGAGTAGATGAGCAGGTCGCCGAAGTCGCGGCCGCGCACCTGCAACTGCGCGAACACGCCGGTCAGCAGCGCCGCCATGCCCGCCACGTCCATCGCCACGGCCAGCAGCAGCGCCAACCGGCAGCGGCCCAGGCCGGACGCGGGCACAGGCGCGCCCGCCGGCGGGGACGGTGCGCCCGGCGGGGGCCCCTGCGAGGCGCACACCGCCGACACCGCCGCCATGGACCTGCTCCACCGCAGCGGCTGGCTCCGACGGAGAGCGTTCCGCGTTCCGGGTGCGGCCCGGTCCGGGGCGGGGTCAGGGGACTGCGCCAGGTGTGCCCGGCACCCGCCTGGTCACCTGAGCTGGGCTGGGTGCGGACGGGCCCGGCCCGAGGGCGCCCTGGCCCTCAGAAGCCGATGCTGGGGGCAGCTGGGCGCACAGATTAGTGCGGCCCAGGGCCCCTGCATCGTAAGGACCCTGAAGCAGCGCATGGTGAAAATCCGGGGTGCTCTAATAGAGGCAGCAGGGCAAACCCCAACATTCCTGTTTGCTCAGATTTCTCCTGGGGCCTCTGGACTGTCAGGACTCATTACGGCGAAGTCCAAGGGCACAGAGATGGGCCAGACAAGGCCCCTGCCCTCAAGGAGTTTCTGGACATAATCACAACTCAAGGTGCCCTAATGGAGGTGACATAAAGCACCGTCATTCCTTCTGTTCACTTGGAGTCTCTCCAGGCCCTGTGCTGGTGAGGCTGAGGACTCAGAGGTATATCAGGCGAGGCTCCTGCCCCTTAAAGAGGACCCTGACAACAGAAAATAAACTTCCCTAAAGTGTAATGGGTGTGACATAGGGCGGAATGGAGGGGGAGAATAGGGCCGGAGTCCGCGAGGCACAGGAAATAAGCTGGGCGAACAGGTATGCAGGCCCTTAAAGAAACCAAGACCTTTCCCAGGCAAATCTCTTTTCCTCCAAACACACCTCGCCCTTAGAGGAAATGGGTGGCAGTCTGCGAGAAGGGTCCGCCCGGCTTCTCTCTAGACTCGAAATAGTGTAGGAGCTTAAGAGGACACTGGGGAGGGCGAATTGAGAGGGAGCTCCCGGGGTTAGCCGAAGGTTTCCGAACATGGCCGAATGGAGACCGAGTGTTTCCGAAGAGATTCGAAGCGGGCATGGGCCAATAAGAGGGAAGCCGGCCGCCCTTCGGAAGAGTGTTTCCGGAGAGTTCCGAAAATGTCCGACCGAGCCTGCTGCCTTCGTCGGGAATAGCCGAGGGTCTACGAAGAGCCTGGAAGCAC